AATGTCAAGACAGAAGGTAACGTTTACTCATGATTAAATTTTATGGGAACATACAAAGAATAACATGCCAAACCATTTCTTCTGTCTTGGCAACAAAAGTAACAAACCATGACACATATTTGGACCACCAAACTAAGATAGTATTTTTTTTAAAGGGGCAGCTATCAAGTGCTTCAAATATTTGTGGAAAATGTCATATAAGCAACATGCCTAAGCTGACCACTTCATTCTGTAAAGCAGAAACATTAAGCAAAACTTCAGGCAAAAATGTTCTTTAGCAGTTAACTGCAAAGCAGTTAACCTTTGCAGTACTCCCGCACTGCAAAGGTTAACTGCTTGTTTTGGTGTAGGTGCTAAAAAAAGTACCCACCCAAACCAGTTGGCTGTGAATCCTGTCCCTTAAGCCTGTCTCCTCCTCCACTGCAACGATGAAATATATCACGGCATCTTCACGTCCTGATCCTTAGACCGCTGTGGCGGGGAAGCGAGGCTGAAAGGATCAGTCTAAGAGCTATTTTCTTTTTTAGCACCTAGACAAAAACAAGCAGTTACCCCTACGGCAAGGGTTAAAAAAAGTTTTGCCCGGAGTCCTGCTTTAACTCTGAGGACATGTGTTATTTCATTTGTGGTAGTACTGGGTCGCTGTTGCTCACTACTGTACAATATTAGGCAGGAACCCTAACTACTTTATTATTGTACACTGCTGGACATGCTGCATAGCAGCGCTTTGGTTCAGTACTGAAAGCCTATGCGGAATATGCAGATTAGATGCCAGAGCAATAGCAAATCTCTCCATTGGCCCAGAGTCCTAGGCCTCAAACCAGCCCTGACAATCTCCTGCACAGCAGTAAAAGAATTGTGAGCACCCATTTGGGAATAAGCTCCCAATGTGTGTCCACCGTGGATTGCCTAGATCTGATTTTGGGAAGAAATCACAGAGCTGTGTTTTATTTCAAAATAACAGCATAAATGTCTTTGAAGGCTTTGGATATTCAAACATGGGGCAGAATACGCAAATAAAAAGGATTGAAATTGTTGCTGACACAGTAAGCTTTTCCAAAGAACAACCGTGTAAAGTAACTCATGGCAACCATTCAGAAATCAGTTATTTCTAACAGAGGCCAATGTCTAAATAGCAGTTATGGATTGCTGCAATAAGTGCTCTTTGCTCCATGTGACTGGAGTCAAATCTGTGAAGTTAGTTTTTTTATTCATATGGAACTTGCAAACTGAATTTGGTTTTCCATTTGTTAAAGGTCATTGCTGGAACAGAAAACTTACATTAGTCACACGTTGCACTTTATAAAAAGAAATATGGATAAACTTGTAAATATAAAAACCCTGGCACTGCATAACTATGAAGAACGCAGTATTTGTACTTTTTTTAAACATGGCGTACCAGGGCCAAGAAGCAAATGATTTGTTGGTGATATACTCTGTCATTATAGGTATACCTCTGGGGCAGGGTCACTGAATTAAACCATTTCATTAGGATCATTAGATGTGTACGCAAAACCTCACACAGGCAAGAAAGAATAAAGGTGTTGAGTTCCTGTTTTATTGCCTAATAATTAGCTGGCCCCACAATTTTGATTTTTAACTATTATTCACAGCAGAACAATTAGATAAGAATGATGTGCACTTATGTAAGGAAAACTAACCTCATCTCTCTTTAAGTATATGTGATCTCTTTATAAAGGTCACATACATCATTGTTTGAGACTGTCCCCAGGATTGAAGAGTATGCAGCCCTGGCCAGTATGTCACCTAGTAATATGTATACTAATGAATTTTAGGGACCACTTTATCAAATACGGTAGGTATAAATGTATTGTTGAACTCCTTATTTGAAGTCTGCAATTGCCCTGCTTCACTGTGAATGACTGCTGTAAGGAAGATAGTTGACCCAGTGTTGTGGCTGAGAGGTCCAATGTCTTTCATTCAAATCATTTGCCTGTCTGCAGGGTAGTTCGATTTACATCTAGGCATTGCTGCACTAGTATAGCATGCTCCATTTGTCTGTAATCTGGCAATCTTGGAACACATCTGCTGGTGATGCTGAAATACCGACTCCATACTACAACTCCCAAACTAACAAGGGCTAATGTAAAAAATGCTTAATACTAGGAAGATTTGCTTAGAAGCACCAAACATAGTCAACCTATTAAGGGGTTTCATGTGACTGTTAATGCAGCAATGTGTGAAAGTGTACATGCTTCAGGAAGTACACTCACACTGACCCTGTGAGGTAGTCTGTAAAATCTGGATACAAGGGGATATAATGGTAAGTACTGTAAATCATTAGGGTAATTTGAGTAAACTTAAGGACACCACAGGTAATGCATTAACTAGATAGCAATAGAACTAAAATTGCCTTTATTTGGAATTTACACTACACTAAGGTGTTGTGGTAGAAGTGGTAGAACTGTTGTTAAGACAGGCATCTGGGGGGCAAGTAAAAGTCCTTACATTCCTAACAATTTACTTGATATAGGGGGCCTCAAGTGTAGCCCCAAACATCACCATACAGCCACACATATTATTCAGCGAATTTACTGATACAGAAAGCTGCCAGAGAGTGCAGACATTCAACAGGAGATAGTTAGAGACTACAGGCATACTACAAGAGATGGACAAAGCCTGCAGATATGCTGCAAAAGATGGCCAGACTCTGGGAACATACTAATGGAGTTGTTGGAGACTGGAGACATGCATCAGGAGACAGACATAGACTGTAGATCCATTTCATGAAACTTAGAAATGACAGTTGGTTTACAAATCTGTGTTTCTGTATCTGTGCTCCCTACAGCACCTTTAAAATCTGCTTGTGCCACATTTTATATTTCAAATCTTAAGATCAGAGAAGATCAGAGAAAAAATTAGAAGAGAAAATGGATGGACAACACAAAGGAAGTTTGCGTGAAAGAAATAAACCAAGTCATTTAACTAGTAGAAGCCAGTGTAAAAAATATTCTACTTCACTCGCCTGAGTAAACCCCTTTGTAAGACTACTGTCTGCAGAAGCCCTGGACCACAGGTTGGGTACCAAGAGCATAAATAGCCTCTCTGTTGTGCCCTTAAAATGGTTGCAATTCAAACAGGTCCTCATAATGTAGTTTCAAGTAGTTTAGAACTTCAGGATCCTATAACAAGCTACAAGTGTTCACCTTAACATTGTGCAGTTTGCTATATTAATCTGTCCAGCTGGACGGAATTAGTATAATTGTAATATTTGTAATATTTAGATTTTATATTCCTTGGAAATTCAGCACCAAGATATGTCTGTTTGACTCCCACCTTGTCTTAGCTTTGACTATCTTGTTCTACTTTGGATCAAAGTTATGGTATAAAAGCATCCTTTAGATGTATAGGAGTGAATGGAGTGTTTTTCAGATACCCATAGTTACATATGTAGATACTGATGTAGCTATTGTATTTGGATTGGATTGAAGATCTCTACATTGGACATCAACTGGTCCAATATTAATACAATGAACAGCACAAAAAGACATCAGATACCATGACTGGAAGTGCTTGGGAAAATAACTGTCCATGTTGTCCACTGAGTGTGCCATACTGCACCCAAAACATTTAAAGGAAAACTAATTGTTACCTATGGGTGACAAAAAATATGACATTTAATTCAAGTGTTCTACCCTTGATAGCACTGCAATACTGATTCAGTGCCTTTAAACCTCTTAGCCTACCTACCCTAAGTGCTTCTAATCAATTAAAAGGAATTCAACCAAAAATGTACATACGCTGTACTATACTACACTACTGTACCTCAGGCACCCATGTTACATACTAGAGGCAATGTAAAAAGGAAGAGTGTTCAGGTATTGCAATTATAATTTGTTTACATGCTACATAGGTATACTAAAGTCTGATTGTGTAAAGGCTTTACATAATATAATAGGTACTGCTAGAACAGATTGATTTAAAAACATAATGTATGCTATAAATTTGTGTAGTAACGTACTAAACAGCCAAACATTTTTATCTTTTTACTTTTGGATAGAGCAAGGAAAGTTTAGAACCTCTGTCAGAATTTTTTTTTTTCGCTGTTAGGGAAATTTCCCTTCACAAGGGTCAACACTAACAGTAAGAGGAAATCTCTCTAAACTTTCTGGCTTTTAGAAAGCCACTAGACCTGCAGTCACCATTGGAAGTTTTCTGTTTCAGGTTATAACAAGTAGGGGACACAAACAGCAATATAAACCTTAATAGGGAGGGAAGGCTTACTGATCCCCTTCTATATATAACCTATAGAGTTTTTAGTTTTGTATGCGCATCCACAGGTCTAAAAGTATTAAACATTTTAAAAATGTAATTCTTGTTTGGTGAACTACTATTACAAACACTTAAACCTTCTTTGTCTTTTAAGTTGATTAATGAAGGTTGTAGCTTAGCCTAGCCATATACATACATTAATAAATGGATACATTTTGGATGATTAGCTTTTTAGATCTCAATTTTTAGAAATAATCCCTGACAGGCATTCTATCCCTTCCACATTGTATCCAAAAAAATTCAAAGCTTAAACAATAAATACACTTGAAAGGAAACTTATTCTGAGAGAAATACAGGGGCTGTCAATGATGTAGTCCTTGAAGGATACCAATTGCCTGCTTGTCTCTAACTTCAGCACTTTGAGTCCCTGACCTAAGACAAACAGGAAAATTAGAAAGTCAGAGAGAAGTCAGAACTCCTGGTTTGGATACTTGTCCCGGAGTAATGCCTCAGAACGTATTGAAGCCATTGGATCAGTATGATAGCCAGGAAGTTAGCATTCTTAGAAGAATAGGTAATTAATGACAGCCTTCAAATTCTCTCAACACAATTTGTCCCATGAACAATTTGGTTCTTCTTAGTACATCTACTAAATTGACTAAATGCACTTTGCTCTGTAAAAGCATACATTTCAGACTCTATTATTCTTTCCCTTTGAGTGGAATATTTCAGTTCACACAAATTACTTTCTGGTGATATGCCCAGTGGATTGTCACCCGTGGTAAAGATGTGGTAGAGCTGATCTCATCCCTCTGTGTAAACAGATGACAGCTGGCTAGGGCAGCGGTCAATGATGTTAATCTGGAGGAAGCTGGTATCTTCTACATTATTTCGTTGAGAGTCACCAAAAAGCCCAGCGGAGGCACTTGGGAAATCGTAAACTGAAAGGCAAGTGATAATGATCAATATGACAGAATTATGCTTTAGATATCGAATATACCTATAATGAAAAAGTAGTGCAGACTGACAGTGCTTGTCCAGTAACCCAAGGTAACCAATCAGAATTAATATTTTGGTGACCTTGCTATAGTTAAATGACATGTCACTAGTTACCACCAGACTCCATTTTTCATATTTTCAGCATTTTTTTTCTTAGTTGCTCAATCTTCCTTTATAAAATAGTGTTTACGTTTAAACATATACTTCCAATGTTAGCAAATGTCATGCAATCTTAATAGGCCTATCTCAACTGTATTAGCAGAAAACATAGGAAACTGGGTGAAAAATTCCATCCATTATTTGAATTTCCACTGTTTTGAGAAGATCTGCTCCAATTATTATCATTTCAAAAAAGTCAAAACATTATAGGGCTGAAATGTCAACATCCATTTTGTGTAACAATCTGACTTTCTCTTGGTGCCTGAATTATTAAGTCACATTACGCTGAATAAACTATCTAGACATTACATAAAGTGTTTCTATGTGCAGTTGCCTGTCATATTAATAGAAAGCTACAGCGGACCTCAAATTGTCTATATTATCATACAATGTGTGAGCTGGTGTACTTGCTAGCCAGAAATATAATTTACTTGAATAGAAAAGCCTAGCAAATGTTCTGAATATCCTTCATAAATCACCTCAGCCTTACATAACAGGGGGACAGATACTGTTCTAAGGTAAAATCATTCATATGGAGCTAGTGTATGATTTAGTCAAATCGACACTAACTGGTCATTTATTCACACACCTAATTTCTAAAAAAAATGGTTTTAACTCCTTTATTTTAATTTTATTTTTATTACTGTACTCTGATAATTACAGCATCATACCTATGGCAATTCAGATGAGCACTGCAGCCTTAAGCTGGCACTGTTCATCTGCAAGCTGAAGGCTTTAATTTTTATCAATAAAGCCTTCAGCATGCATGTGATCACCATGCCATAGCTGACACAGTGTTCATATGATCAAGAAGCATGCTGACTAGCATGCTGAGGAAGGATTAAGGTTATATTAAACGAGATATATCCTTAGCCCTCGTTCACACCTGAACGTTTTGTAGCGTGTTCTACGCTCGACGAACGCTCTACAAAACGCTCAAAAATATAAATCCCATTGTATTCAATGGTCTCGTTCCCACCTTGGCGTATTTCCGCCCGTCCCTAACGCGCTACAAAACGGGCCACGCCTGAAAAAGTACAGGTACTACTTTGGGCCGTTTTGTTGCACGTTTCCATTGGGATACAGCCAAGTAGCCTTCGGAAACGCGCGACGGTTGCGCAACTTTTTTACCGCGAATCGCGGTAAAAAACCGCGCGACGGTCGTGCGACAGACGCGCATATGCAATACGCCTAGGTGTGAACGAGACCTTAGAAAGACACAGAAGCCACCATTGCTGACTTATTATTGTTTTTCTGGCTTCAATTCTTTGAGCCACTAATCAAGAACAGTGTGCCGATAAGGAGTCAAGACGTTTCTCTGACTTTCCTGATACTTGCTCTGGATTAGTACTGAAGCCAGTGGGTCAACGTTACAACCGAGAGCCAGACAGTTGTACGAGAGTGGAGGGGACCCGGCGACATACCTTAATCTGCTAGGTGAAAGTCCCCTCCTCTTTTTGCTGGCATCCATCACTTAGATGGCCGCCGGCAGGTAAGCACACGTAACCTCATCACGCGCGTGCGCGATATTTTACGTATGCGTGATGACGTCCCAGAGGGGTGTCATCTGGCGGCTGCTCCGGGTAACACCTCGCCTGGGGAAGTCCCTGATGGATACCTTTAGGAAAGGCATACTTTAATGCTTTGAGAGATTTTACTGATCTTGTGGATTATTCTGGATTATTATACTTGTGTGAAAGTGATTTTTATTCTACAGTGAAAATGTATAAATTAAAGATGCTGGACATTTGAAAGTTGACTGGCAGTATACTGCTAATGGAAGTGTAGCTGCTGGGGACATCATTCCTAGAATGCTCAGGTAACCTAACTAAAAGTAAATGGATGAAAACACTGATGGAAAAATATGCAGCACTTACCTGCAATACCCGACTGGGAAGAAAATGCCCTGTGAAATGCATCAAAATCTGTTTTGTTCCCACCATTGTGCGGCAAACATTCTTCAAATGGAGGCATCATACTGCATGTGCTGCTATGCTGCATGTTCCGCTGTGGATCACTGAAATGTGGGGAGCAAAATGTCTGCAGCTGGCCATAAAATCCTGCAAAGACAAAGCATGTGCTAGGTCTGTAATTGCCTGTACACAGCAAGACAATATATGTATGCAGTTATATCTGAAATAGCAAAACGTCAGGAGATGTCTCATTTAAACTTAAAGCATATGTATAGTCAAAACTGTTTTTTTTAAATAAAGCAGGGAAGGGTTAGGACCCTTGTCACGTATTTACCCGTTTGTATTTTTACTTTATCCAAGGCAGAAAATAAAGGAAACTCTTCCCTGTTATGGTGACAACTGCCTACGAGTTCCCCTAATTTTCTCACATTTATTGTTGTATTTTCAAGCAAAAAAGGGAAATCTCCCCTGGCAGGACAGGTGGCAAAAAATAAACATGCAGTAGTTTTAAACCTTCCCTACTTTAACTAACACTTAAAAGAAAATTTTAGCTAAAAAACCACTTAAACTCTCCGTACCAATAAAAAAAGCATTTTTGTACATCCCTTAAAAACCATTACTTGAAGTTCATTATGGGACACCGGATCGGGAATAATCTCAGTTAGGTTATACTGCTGCCTACAGGAGGAATTGGACACTGGCATCAAAAAAGCCATTGGCCAGCCAAGTATAACCCCTCCCACTCTCATGATGCTTCTGTTTTTAGAAAAGCAGTATTAGGAGCAGTTCATAAACACAGAGTTGAGACCCATGTCCCTTTGTCAGGATCCAGAGCACCCCCAGGTGGTGCTGGAGCCATGTCCTGCAGTTCCTGTGCTCGCCTGTGGGTGTCTACAGCAGCCAGGGACTGTAAGGAACCTGCAGCTCCAGTACTCACCTGCGGGTGTGCCCCAGCTGTGACGGATCATCCCATCACCTGGTGCTTCCTGGGAGGGTATTTAGGCCCTAACTGCAGTCAGGAAGCTGGCTCAGTATTTGCGTCGCCTGCACTTGACTGATTCCCATAAACCTGAACCCTGCTTCCTGAAACCCTGCTTCCTGAAACCCTGCTTCCTGAAACCCTGCTTCCTATCTGCAGACCTGTCACCGACCCGGCTTGTTACCCGACCACTCTCTTGGATCCTGTTCCTGTACCGTGCTGCTGCCCTCCTGTTAACGACCCGACTTGTACCTGACCACTCTTCTTTTATCCTGAGGCCTGCCATATATCTGCAGGCCTGTTACCCCTCCTTGTTGCTTCCCCCTGGCTGTAGGTGTGTGTTTGTCCCAACGGTGGGTTTATTAC